TTTGTCATGGTTCCAAATAAAATGATGCTAATAGAGATGATTTGTATAATAACAGTACGGATCTGTGTGGATCTTCTAAATTAAGACTTTTTGCTTATATGAAAAACTTTAAGATGGGATTTGGTTTATTTCCGACGGTCTCGGAAAACCGCCTCCTTTATAATTTTCCTCAATGAGAATTCATTTCTTATGATGTATCTTCTTCTCAACTGAGATATTGGTATTGTTCTTTATGCATCTGTTTCGTCTTGTTTTATTATAGCTGAAGATTAATGGACAGTCTACTGATCAGCGATGCGGAACGCTTCTTTATCATACAAGGCACAGAAGTTAGTAATCTGGCTTCGTGATCATGTTCTTCTGTTTTAACAGGTTGGTTGCCGACTAGATGGCCGCGGCGGGAAGGACTACCGGCCTGTCGAGGTTATGACAGGCATTCTCAATCATTCAGCAGGCTCTGCGAGGGTCAAATTAGTATGTATTCCTACCCTAGATGGTATTTGTCTTTCAGGGTGGCACTTCTGTTGTATCATGTGTAACAGTCGAAATCGGTTCCCCGTCCTTTGACCTTCCTCACCAAGGGCGACTTATGATCGATGTAGAATGGTAAGAGTCCGACTTTGCGTCTTGGTTTCTCATTCGTTTAGTTCTCCTACAGCGACTCCTAAATTCTCAGGCAAAAGTGGGAGTGAAATAGCAGATTCCCTAAAGGCAACACTATCCTCTGCGTTCACTCCTGACTGTCTTCCTATTGAGTTGCTGTGTATTCAACCTGGCAAACAGTGTTGGGTCCTCTACGTAGACCTTCTGGTACATTGTTTTAGTTATTTGAATAGACCTTACTTTTAGCTGTTAGAAAGCGATGGAAATATACTGGATGCCGCCTCACTTGCCATAGTCGCTGCCCTTCGAACGCTCAAGTACTTATACTTCGTTCTTTTCTAGCATATTCTATTTCAGGTTACCCTTGTCACTGTCCCGTAAAATACCAGATGGAAACCTATCGATAAAGAATGTACCCCTCTTCGTAACTGTACATAAGGTTTGTTTTCTTAACTTTGCGTGTCCTTCCTTCGTTTTACATGACTCATTTTTTCAATGCAGTTATTTAACAAACTGTGCTTTTTCGAGATGAGAAGCTCAAGTTAACCGCAAATTCCACGTGGGGATTTTTGTAAATATTATTTAGTTTGACTGTGGATCCATTCATGAACAGCACGAATGCAGTAACCGTGTTGGTTTACTCTCGATAGGACTTGGGTTTATTTTAACTTTACTAGTTGACATTTAATTACTCACTTTAAATCGCTCTCTCCTTTATCCTAATTATTTTCTTATCGGACAATTTTACAGTAGCCCCTGTACACGAGAGAAGTGGACTCGGGCGAGTTAAGTGAATGGAGGACAGCCTCCGAAAATAAAATGCTATACCCGAAAAGTTTTTGATTTGATGGCGTAGCTGTGGATTAAGTGCTCTCCGATGGACATTATCGAATGTCATTTAAATTTGGTCACTAAAAATACTGCAGTTTTCTTATCGTTGAAGCACTTTAATCGCGAACTTTATTTTATTGTAGCTTCTTTCCACTACTTATGGTAAACTGTAGGGCTCTTTTATTTAATATTTTTATCAAATCTACAAGTTACTGACCAGACAGTATTTATGACCCATTCTAAATTCGCACTTCCGTACTCATCTCGCACTCGCGAAAAATAAGCGACAAGAAATCTGTTGCGTGATGTGGTTTTCAGCCTTTTCCTATTCAAAATACGGCAATAATTTGCGACACCTTAATGCACATTAAGTTAAAGTTAAATTTTCAATATAATTCTCCTTAGCAAAATACGATTTCCTTTCCTACTTTATGAGTGCGTGCACATTAAAGCGAGCATATAATTCATCGTTCATATGATTAAACTCAACATTTGTAAGTATTTCTTACGCTGGGTCAAGGTATTTGCTTTAACCAAGTTGTGTAGTTTTAGTATTATAAAATACAAAGGTATGGTCTTGCTAGAAGTTGTCATTCCAAATCTATTGATTGATTCATAGCTTTCCATGCCTCTATCTACTTCCTTCGGCTCCTGTCCCAGCTATAGAGATGGAGCAGAGGTCAGATTATGACACTGCTTGGGCCACTGCTCTCTTGCCATACTGCTCACCGCGGATAAACAGTTTTCGCCTCTTTTTTGTTTTCTGGTTTGTACAAATATCCTAAGCCGCATAAAAGGTAAGAGTCTAATAGCCACCTACTAACTTCCGTTTGTCCATAACCCTTATCACCTGTATGGGCGGCAGAAATATTTGCTATCGTGATACGCCAACAGAACTTGAGGTCAAGTGGCCTCAATATTGTACAAGTTTAAATAAAACCGGATAAGTTGTTCTTGAAAAGTATCCGTTGGTACCAGATTGGTTTGGCCACGTTGTTGCACTTGGTTTCTGCGTATCTTTGCATGTGTGGTATTTTAAAGTCTCCGGAATGCACAATTTAAACGCCTTTCTGTGCAGTGTCACAAGTTTAATTCTATTTCTCGATTCACCAATCCAAGCTATGGGTTCCGAATACCAAGTTCTAATTTCACCTTTTCTACATTGATAGTTTCTCTTACCATACTTATTTTCCACTAGATTGGCAGTGCTTTCGTCGTCGACGCCACCAGGGAGGAAGAAGCATGCTCGTTGTCACGGTTCGTGCTACATATTTTGAATGTTACTTTCTATTGACAAACATAAGTAGTTGGTATTTATATACGTTTAGTATTCTCCGTGTCCTTGTTGTAGCTTGATTCAACATCCCCGAACACTTGTAGTTCGTCTGTCATGCTCCCGTGGGGATAGTAGTGACTTGCATCTAGGATTGCACAGCGTAGCATTTGTTCCAATCTCTCACTTCCGATACCCATCATATTCTAGTCACAAGGGGAAACCCATACACCCGAAAAAGAATTTGGGCTTGTTAACTGTCGTAGCATACGCGTACAAACACTAGACTTTAAACACAGGGTCTCGATTCCTTCACACAAGAGAATTACCACAAAGGTCGCAGTACATAGGCATCATTGCACCCTGACCCATCCTGTCCTTTTGATGAATCTTCTCAATCCCTTCCTGGGACTTGCATGTTCGCTTGTATTGGCTATGAATCTTTTTGCCTGCGATGTAGATAGCAGAGTTGGGCCACTTTGTCGGCTCTTTTGCTGCAGTGAGTTTCAGCTCTTTTGTACAGACTTCGTACACAGCTGCGTTTG